CCATCACAAGTAAAACACAGTGCAACTGCTACAACGAGGCAATTAGCAGGTGTTGTTATTAATTCTTCGCAGCAGTCAACTGTGGCGATTGCAAGTCTTCCTACGCAAGTCATTTTTAGTACTCAAAAGCTGGAAAAATTCCCGAAACGTCAACGAGATTCGATATTTGCCACTGTCAGGTTAGTTTTTGTTATTTTTCATGTGAGTATTTCTAGTGTGAAATATGTATACGTTCAAGTGACTGTATGTATTGCACATCTCAAGTCGTTTATTGCGTGTATTTCCAGCATTTTTCTGATACATATTTGAAAGATCCAAGATGTACTCTGTAAAGTTCATTTTTATTTGAATATCTAATGATATGTTGCAGCTATAAATTGGGACATATCATTAGTTTGCACAAAGTTAAACTTATTAGTGATGTTGATCTGTATAGTACAGTTTTCAAAAAAATTCTGGTTTCCTCTATATTTGACTTCTTGAATCCAGTCATTTTAACAAGCATTAAAAGATTAGCAGAAGTTGAGAAATCGTATTGTTTTGCAGTAATAAAAATTTGGGTCTTTTGTTTATTGAATGACAATAATTATATTTTTAGTAGAGTCTTAAGCAATGTATAGCGCGTTTTTATCAATTTCCTTTAGTTATTTGCCTGCGAGATTGTTGCAATGTGCTCTCTTATAGCGAATGAAAAGAGTATGATTTGAGCATCTCAAAATTTTCGAGTTTCTCGTATCGTTTGCAGTAGACTGTTATCATTAAAAAAAAAGTGTTTATTATCAATTTCCATTTAATTATGGCATTTTATTTTAGTTGATTGAACTAATTTAACAAGTATTCTATATTATTTACCAGACCATTTACCAATAGTGAAATCAGATCTTATTGGAAATGAAATATAATTAGTAATGATCTCTACTAAATATTTAGAGAAACATCACTTGTAAAAGAGTCTAATGTCCTTATGACTATGAATACTTATTTCATAGTCATTATTTATGACAGTACTTATTAAACAGAGTGAGTGCATTAGTTTACTGCATAGATTTGAAAGTAAAGCTTCAAAAAAGTTTTAAAAATATTGTAAGCATTTTAATAGGCTTTTTTTCACTTTCAGTAAGTGCCGAAATGCTGAAAATGCTTTTAAAATGTATTTTCAGTTAAAGTATTTTGCACTTTTTCAGGGCAAAATTGGATTCTTTGGTAGGTCAGTTGAGTACTAATAATAGAAGGTCACAGTGCGCGACGACTAGGTCAGAGTGCACGACTGCTAGGTCAGAACGCGCGACTGCTAGATCAGAACGCGCGACTCCTAGGTCAGAACGCGCGACTACTAGGTCGGAACGCGCGACTACTTCAGCAGCTATCAATACTAGTGATGACAGCGTTTATGCATTTCGAACTGTTCAGAAAACTCTTAACAGTACACTTGGAGCGGATTCAGATTGTTGGAAAATTCATGCCTCAATGCCTTCATCATTTTCATCATCATCATCATCATCGTCAGCTAAAACAGAAATGCATCTTGTTAACGATGGTCGTATGTTCCTTCATTCCTTTGAAAAAAAAAGTTTGAGCAGCGAAATTTGGCATTCTTAGTATCTATATCAGCTAAACTACAATCCATAACAGCAACAATTCTTATTCATTCTGACGCTTAATCATGTTATTTTCTAGAAAAACAGAAAGCAGCAACAGATTCACTTTATCGACGTTATCCAGCAACTGTATCTCTTTTCGATGGCGAATGTAGTTATTTTGGGAAGGTAAAAGTTTCTATGATTGATTGGTAAGAAATTTGTAGAAATAGTTGCCGATATTCAGCAGGATTTTATGGCTTATGGTACTTGGCATTCATTATATCTGATATAGGGTGTAAAATGGTTAGTTCAGTATTCTATTCACAGAATGGAAGAGTAATAAATTCATGTTTCTAAACTTGTGATGGAGACAGAAAACTGGATTTCTGCCTGGATGAACTAGTCTACCATCAAGTTGGTTTTCTCAAGGAGCGAGAAAATTTCTGCTTCCTTGAACATTGCGTGATTCATCCTTTCTCAATTATATTCAGTAGCTAGTACTGTCTTAGCAGACTGGTGAACATCAAGTAGAAACCACATTGAGACTTAAGATTTTAAGGGCCTTGTGGCATGTTATTAATTTTCAGATGGAAGTCTGTGTGAGATAGGTACTCTCTTCTTTCTCTCGAAACAGACGTTCATTTGTATGCTTGCACAATGTCTGATGCCGAAAATTTCAGTCAAATTAGAAATTTCGTTTCTGGGAGAAGTATGTGTGATGATAAAGAAGAAAAATTTAAGCTGTCAGTCAGTCACTTTGTGCTACAGGAGCAGAAGTTATTGTGCTGAAAATAGGAAAAGACTGAACATGTCTTGTTCGACTGCTTGTGTACAGAAGTAGACATCAAAGATATATTCATTTCTGAGATTGAGCAAAGGAGTAAGAAAGAATGGCATGTCGAGCGGGTAGAATCATTCTTTTTGAAAGCAACTGAAAAGTAGTATGAAAATCGAGGAAACGAGTTTGCAGGGCTTCGTGATTTAGCAGTGTCCTTTGTCTTATTTTGCTGAGAAAAACATGATAATTTTCAAGCATTCTCTGAGTGTGAATGCAACATTGTTTCCTATCGATAAATTTCACGATTATTACGAAGAGTTTTTGCTTACAAAAATGAAATGGTAAAATTGGTGAAATTAGAAAATACATTCACATAATATAATACACTTTTCACTCATTTTTGAACGGATAGTGAATTTGTTCTGAGCCTAAGTGGGTTCGATGTTGGAGAAATCTTTTTTTGCATACTGTTATTGAAGGCTGTGGTTAGATGTAAGTAGAGGTGATAGAGAGATTTGTCGATGAAGATTGACAATGTCTTCTTAGCTTGGTAATTTTGAGCGCGACTTTAAGGGTTGTTTGACTTGTTTGTAGATTAATAGGGACGTAGAGAGAGCATAGCGCTAATTGCATTTCCAAAATAAAAAAGGGATAATTTACATGAATACACAGACATGAGAAAAAGGTCACCTGTCGCAGTCGTCATTTCTTTAGGTCACTCTGTCTCCCCTCGCACTCTGCACTGTGTATTGAAATCAACAGCATTACATGAGATCATTGTTGTACCGTTGTGTGTATAGAGAAATGGTTTCTGCTGTCTGTCTGTTTATTAAAGCAAGTCAAGAAGAGAGAGGATGCGTGCCAATTTATCGCAAGGGATTGTAGACAGAATAAATCGGTGTTGAGGTGGAGGGCTTGGGGAGTGAGGGCATCGCGTCTGGTTAAATTCCTGTCTGATAGAAAGAGAATTATGTGAAACGCATGGTAAGTCCCTGCATTGAAAGGGGTGGGGTAATTGAATGATTGAGTTTTTCTTTGTAGACGTCGCTACTCAATTGTTGGTAAAGGGGAATGCTCAAGACAGTTGATGTTAGAACTGGCTTGCAATTGCAGCCGAAGTTTTATTATTACTATAGCAAGAGGAAAGAGAGTAGACTAGACAGACGTCTGCTGCTGACAACGTAAGCAATATTTGTTTACTTATGATATGCATGCGAAGTGGAATATTATGATGATTATAATTAAGGGCTGTAAATGGGGATCGTTTCCGAATTAAGGAGAATGCAATTGGATGTGTTGGGAATCAGGTTGAGTAAAGATAAAATGCTGAATTCTACGGCAGCTAACCTGTATTAGAGTATGTAGGAAAATTCATGATGCTGTTACCTATGTCCTATTACAGTACCTTAGTAAGGATTATTATCATGCCAGCATATTTCAAATTAGAAGGGTCTTTTAATTTTGACGATCAAGCTTTTGAATGTTCTTTATTTCATTTGCATGTTCATATATTGCGTGTAGAAAAGAAAGGGAACACAATTCTGTCTGTGAGATAAGACGCTCTACAATAAAAATTTTATCGGTTTTTCACGATCGAAAAATGATGCTTATGGAAAATTAGTCATGTGTTCTTGTTTTTCTGTTTGCTAGTATTGTAACATCTCAAATCATTCATCTGATGATACTTTTGTTCTCCCTCCAGTCGCTTATTTGCATACACTTTGGCATTTAAGAATGCCTTGGAAAGTGTGAAATTGACGGTAGTAAAATGAATGCTTTCAAGTGGGTAGCAGCTTAACACTGACAGACCCTTTTTATCAAAATATAAAATTTTACTTTGCCTTGTGACTACTCTGTTTTTATTTTGACTGAATTTTTATTCTGTGAAACTGGGGAGATAACGAACTGTTGAAAGAATGAAAAGAGCAGCAGACAGGCACTAAAGTTGCAGAATCATTTCTGCAAACAATTTTATCTATTTAGGAAATACTTTACGTGCAATTTATGATGTATAACAATGGAATTTTTGCTTAGCAGTTGTTGATTGAACCAAATCAATATGTTATGAGGACAATCAGATTCGTAAATTCAAGGCTGACATAGAGTATCGTTGATATATTTTGTTAGGGGATGTAATTTACCAACTGCAGACACTGTAATAATTTCGCATGTTTTGTCTTTCAATGAACGAGCGTTGGACGCAGCATAATTGAAAGTAATTACTGATTCAAGTCAGCAAAATCCGTTATATAGCTAAAAAAAATTGCATCAGAAGAGTATTATTTGGTATTTTTAAATAAATTGTCTTGGGTATCGGACGTTCTCAATTTGCAGGGACGTTTGATAGGGAAGGAAGAAAGTGATCGATGGGTTCGTGCACCTCCCAATTGCAATCCTTTTGACATGCGAGCATCTTTTACTTGTTCCTCAATGTCATCTAAAGCCGCAGTTCCTCAAGCAACATATGGGCGTAGTAGGCTTAACACTGCAACAGGAATCGAGCGTCCCGCTTCTAATGCAGTACCTTTAATGACTGTTCGAAATGGGACTGCAGTTTACCGTCCAAGTAGCTGGAAACGAGAGCAACAAACGGGTAGTATCAATAATTTGTTCAGTGATTGCAGGCGTCACGAAGATGGCTGTTTTTCATCTCATTTGCGTTGGCAATCGGTTAAGGATTGCAGTGATAATCTCTGTTCCCAATCTAGCTCTCGTCCAGTGGTGTATGTACCTGTAAATTTATTTCGTAAAAGCAACCATTTCAACGTCGCAAGTGATGTTAAAGTTCATAATGATAATGTGGGTGGCAATAATAAGTGTTCATCATCGCCTTCTTTACAGCCAGCAGCTGTTACTCCTAATTTTAGTTCACCATCTACGCCAATCAATAGAATAGATACTGTTATTTCTAAGAATTCACCAGTAAATTCTACAGACCACAAAACAGATTTTGTAACAAGCTGGTTGCCAGGTCGAAAAATTGATGATCCAGAACAAGGAATTAAAGAAGAGGTTAGTGAGGAGTTAGAAGATGAACTCGTTACGAGTCATTCATCACAATGCAATACCCTTTGTTTGTTGAGTGGTAGTGATCATTGGGGAGTGACGATATCTAGTAGTAATAAATGAGAAAGAAAATGCAAATTTGGTATTTTGGTGCTTAATTAGGACGGGTGAATGTTAATGTTTGTTCTTGTTGAAGGGATAATTGTATCATTTATTTCCTCTCTCTGGTTTGAATTTGAATAATTCTTAAGAGTTATTGAACATTTTGGCAGTGTGAAGTACTCATTATAAACCAGTTTTTTATGTCATTACTTTATCCTTTTTGAAATATATCATTTGGTTGATCTGTAAGGGGAAAGCTGGCCCAGCGTCTACCACTTTTCTCATTTGTTTCGATCCGCTGGCTCTGGCTCTGCTTCCTTCTTTTTGCATTTTTTCCACCTTTGTTCAGTGTGTTCCAATTTTGAAGGCTCATTCTTAGTCATTTCATTGTACCACAAATTTCTCACATTTTCCATCTATACGTGTATTACCGTATGTTAATATTTGATGTGATGGCATTTGACATTTATAAACGGGTGAAATAGTAGTGTGTGGAAGAAAATGAATGAATACATTTGTTCTCAGGTGAATAGCATATAATCACAAAAAAGTTGAAAACGCGACGCATCGTCGACCATCTGTCATGTAAAATCATCTGTATTTGTACACAGTTGGAATGCCATATTTGCTAATTGGTCATGAAAATTCAGTGGATATTCAAGACTTACCTAGTTATCTAATATACGTTCTAAGTAATAACATGTGTCCAGATGTCTAGGATGTGATATGTTGGTAATGGAACTGACTTAAGGGACAGTGGGTGTGCCATCACTCAAGTTTATTTTTCGGTAAGGAATTATTACGGTGAGTCTAAAAAAAAATTTATGATCACCTTATATGAAGACAAAAGGAGTGTTTTGGCTGACAGCTATTAATATAAGAATTGCAGGAGAATAACTGGAAATAATAGTAGGCAACAATATTTCCCGCTTTTAGTGAGAAAGTCGGTACTTCATTATCACTTAAAAACCATGATTCTTCGTACTAGATTTAAAATATGGAGTAGACGCAAAGGGTCAGGGAAGTAGTACATAGGTAGTGATATGTCTGGAATAAACGAAAAGGTGCAGTATGTGAAGAAACAGCAGATTGGAACAAGAAAACGGGGTGGGGATAGTCGATTCAATTCGTAAGTCTGTTCTAAATCTGGGAAAAGTGATTTAAGGAAGGCATTTCGGGAATAATGGACTTTAAGTTTGTGCTTTAATATTATTCAAGTAGTTAGATCGGCGCCTTTTTTTGCTTCGGAACATAGCTTTTAAATGCTTGGAATAACGTTTTTTGTCTATGAGTGAAGCGAGAACATGGTTTACTATTCATTTCGTCTAGCCTAAGATTAACCTTGAGACGTGCAGATGAATAATAATTAATCAGTTGTTATGTGACAAGTGGTGGTAGTCTAACTTGTCAGCGTTACTGTTTACTTGCAAAACAAAATTCCACTTTTACGACAAGACATCCATCCATCTTATTGTAGTCACAGTATAGTGATAGAGAAAGCAGTCAGAGATACACATTATACACTGCCTTGTTTATCCCTTATTTTGATAATTGTCTGCAAAGAAAGCACTACGTCATTGCTTGCAAATGAATGCTAAATACACCTGTGAATTATGAGGTGAAACTTGACAGCGAAGAGAGTCTTGCCTTCTCCAATTTGAGGATGAAGGAAATGTGTACCATGAACAACAGTTTCACAAAACTACACAATTCACTTGACTGACAGTTTGAAGTTGACTATTCGAAAAATCCTGTTAGAGATTCCGAAATTCTATTTGCTGTGAGCTTATCTCCAAAGAAATGTTTACACTTATTTTATAACATATTTACAACCCTGAGTTTCCATGTAAACCATGGGAAGCTGCCATTTTGGAATAGTATTGTGCATTATAACCATCTCTTCCATGACAAAGAATTCATGACATTTTGTGGTAAAATAATTACTACAACTGAAACAACAGATACTTTGTGTATTCCAAGTGGTTTACAAAATATCTTATACTGACAGCCAAAATTTGTTCAATCACTGCATAATTTCATTTCCAAGCTGCAGAAATCTTGTTGAAGGAAATGAGAACTTGCTATGAAAATGACGTGTGAACCTTTTGAGGTTGACACATACTGCAAATTTTATATTTTGAGAAGTAAAAGAATTTTTTACATCAATAAAGAAAGCATAGTCGTCAATACACAAATTCTCTCTCATACTTGAATATCCTATAATTCAAATTAATTTTCGAATGTGTAATCGCGGAAAAATCAATAATTTGACATCCTCCACAATGATTACTCAGTCGACTCTTTGATTGTTTCCTTAGCGAGCATTAACTGCAGGAAAATGATGATTTATGGTGGTTGATTCTTCAAACTGATATAACCACATTTTTATAACATCACAGCCATATTTCTCATTTGTACGTCTTGTTTACACAGAAAAAAATGAAGAAAAAAGTGAGAATATCGGAATGCGATAAATCCTCTCATCACTGAAGCAAAACGAAAACTCAAGGCAGTTTACTCATGCAATTCCTGCAATACAGTAATCAAAAGCTTGAAGATAACTCAATTTGCAGAACGCAGTTCATATTTCTTTACCATAACTACTGATAGTAGGCAAACTGCAGTGTATGAAATATCAAATTTACAAAATGTTCTTGCAAAATCTTTCTAGTCTTAACTATGTTATGAGGGAGCTTTGCTGTTGGGAAAAATAAAAAAACCAAAATAATTAAGAGAAACAAAAAACTGTAAAAACGAAGAAACAACCCATCAAAATACCTTCACGTACCGTAAGCAATCAAAAAAACGCTTTAACGGCGAGAAGAACTTCTTTTACGAAACATGATCTCCTAAATATCTATTAAATAGGAATCTGTTTCCCATCATGTTTGTATTTCTCTCCCTGACTCGAAGATATTTATTTCGAAAACTATATTTCTAATACGAAAATAACACGCTGCAAAGTTTACAACTTGTAACCGATTAAATACGAATGAATTCATCACTTGTTACCGGACTAGAAAAACAAAAAGTGCAGCACGATGGAAACTTACTCTGCAAGGTAGTCCACAGTGGAGCCTGCTGTTATCGAGGGAAATAATTTTAATTTTCAAACAGCTTACTAATAAAAAATGAAACTGTATTTAGGGAAATGATCTGCAGATCGATCAGTCGTTTCTATTAATGACCAATCGAATGAACACAGTTTCTATCAGAAATCTATTTATTAATATTTACACAGTAAAGATCACTCAATCTCCGTAATTAAGTTTTTTAAATTTATTTAAAGTCATTTTAAAAAGTGCATTTTAACTGTTGAAATAATAAAAAAATACACGATGAACAGATTGCAATTCACAACCGACCAAATAAAGAAAGACAAGCATCCATCACTTTTTTACTCGACTTGTCCACGGATGAGTACAAAAAATCACATAACTGCTTCTCCTACAAAGATAGTTTCCTCATATAATTTCCAAAAGAAATGATTCGTTAGATTATACTAAACGCACTACAAAAACTTCGTCTGAGACAAGACTCGTAAACGAAGTTAAATCTTTTTTGATATTCTGCAATCGCTGATAAATACCTGTTATAGCATACTGTACGTAATTATAATTAGTTCCTTTAAATTACAACCAATAACTGCAAGTATTTTCATTACTGTAAATTCTACCACTAAGAATCAATAAAATTCACATCTGCATAAATTTGAAAAAATAAATTTTTTTTAACTAAAAGTGACAAAATTCATTGAAAAAATATCGTGTTGATAGACAACTTAGCTTTTTATGACCAAAAAAAGAAAAATATAAATATTCAAAAATATTTTTAGAAAATAAACAGCATGCAATGTTATTCAGAAGTAAACTACTAGAATAACTTTCTAGCTTTTGCAGTAATATCTGGAGGTCAAATGATTAAACAGATCCAAAATGGATCATTCTCCTGTCCACTACTACATTCATTTGAGAAGAAAATCGTCTACAACGACATAATCCCTACATAATAATACAAACCTTAGCAACAATGCATGAATATGCTATCGAAAATAGCCAAAAGTTGTTTGAGTACATAACAATTTGATAGCATACAGTACTTTTGTTTTCGCTTTAAGACTCAAAAGTTAATAAATAATAAATTCTTTTTATTATGATTTATTTTGTGCATGTTGATAATATTTTGACTAATTATCGACATTTAGGCACATCAAAGATGAAAATGTTTGAGTTTCTTTGAAAAAAGTGGGAGTGATAAAGAGGAGGGTTGTAGGAGTAGAAACATCACTCACGAGGAGGTTACAGCATTAATCAAATTTAACAGAACAGTGTAAACAGTGATTTTTGTTTCGAGTTAATAACTTATGTATAAGGACGGCTGTAAGGTTCTAGGTTATGTTACTGTTAATAGATGTGAAATTCGTTTTATTGCAATTTATCTCTCAAATGTTAATGATATTTAATGGCATTAATAATATTTGATATTGCAACTGTAATTATTACTACATCGTAATTATATCAGTTATTATTGATGTTCATATCTAAATTTAATGCCAATTATTTTTGTCATTCGTTCTGTACCCATTTTTGGAGAGATTTAAGTTGTATATTTGCTTCAGAAATGTCTGCTAAAAACGTTGCAAGAGGTCGGTGTAGACTGAAAAAACCATCGGAATATTCACCTTCGCTTTCATCAAAATCAAGTCCTCAAACAAAAGTGATAGAGTATTTTCCTACTGTACATCGCGATTCATCTAAAAAATTTAAACGTCTCAATGACAAACAAGTTAGTGATTTGTAACTAGATTTTCATTGTTATTATGTTTTAAATCCTTTTTATATGAAACTATCTGAACAAAGTTTGAAAACTTTAAACTCTGTTTTATATCTAAAAAAATAAGTGTTTTGCAGATCGAAAATTCACAGATTTTGGAATCGCCAAATAAACAGCCTCGTTTGAAATCATCACTCCCGTCTTCTTCTGGAAAAAAGTCTGGAGACAATAATCAGAAACGGCTTATAGCAGTAACGAGTTCAATGTCAGAAAAAGATGAAGTTGCCTCAAAGGTTAAGACAGAGGACTGTGTTAATAGTGACAAAAAATATATTTCCAGTGAAGTGAAGGAAGATAAATCATCCGGGGTTTCAGTAGGGAAGGTACATGAAACAGTTTCCGGAGAAGAACAAAAAATTATAATAGAGACTCCTAAAGATAACAATGACTCATTAGAAAACATGCTTGTCCAAAGACTAGAAGCAAATAAAGAAGATGAAAAAACTTCGTGGTCAGTTCTCATTTATTTGGAAAAGTATAATTTGCGTTTATATTTTTACTGGTCTGATTAGTTATATTCCTCAAACTTAAGTGACGTAATATTCTAAAAGTAGTGTTGTTTTATTAAAGTTATTAAGATAATATTTTAGTAACTTGAGCTACTGTTAACTTCTTTTCCAAATTTTGCATGTTTTTTAAATGTATTTTTGTGAAAAGCAAGTTTTAGCACTGTATCGGCTGTAGAATTAGTAGAACGTATTGAAAACAGTACAGGATCGAGTCTGAGTGAAACACTGCCTTTTCCTCCGAAATATGAACGCTTGTTGCGATTATTTGATTATACTGAAGTGGTTAGTTGCTTTTTATAGAATAGGCAGTTAAGCAGTCGGAAAGAAGGAAAGTTTTTAATATTTGGTTTAAATTTTGTTTCATCTACTTTTTGTTTTTTGTGTGTTCTGTTATTTTTGATATAAGTTCTTATTTAATTCGGGCTAAAGAGAGATTGCAATAAAAGCTGAAATTTAATGCAACCTGCAGATTTTGGAAGTAATTCTGTCATTACATTAGTTCTTAACAATTTTAGGTTGTTTCTTGGCTAGAAAGTCAAGGTAAACGAGTTACTCTCAATGAAGTGTTGACTAATGTTCAACGTAAATTAAAAACGTAAGGCTTTCATGTTATTTTAAAGAAATGCTGAAGAGTTTTAAATAGTTAATGACTCATCCATAAATTTTCATATCCTTACCATGTTGAGCACAGTGCAAGAATGCTGCTCATGAAAAGACTTTAACCAAGTATTAATTAATCACATTTTCAGTAATTACGACGAAAATCAGTTTGCCATGATTTTATCAGTTTACCCTGAAGCTTATAAGATTCGTTGCGAAAGACGATGGATGCCAATAGGCGGAAGGCATTGTAGTACGAATGAATTTGAATATGTGATCGAATCAAACCTTGCTGATGGTATGATAGTTTTGCTAGTTAGTTCCTAATTTCTTTGAAGTCATGCAGCTTTTCCGATACTGTCGGCTTATAACGCTTTGATGAGTTATCAATTTTCATCAGATTTTTCGGATTTAAGTTAATATCCTTTTTTCTAGATCTCGTTCTGCCATCACAAGGAAGTAAGAAAAAAATTGCTGCATCTCAGAATTCACCAGTCAAGCAAATGTGTAGTTCGCCGGACAAAGTTTCTTTAATATCTCTTACTCGAAATCCAATGTGTTCACCATCTAAATCACTTACGAGGGCTGGTCTGAAATCACCGACGAAATCAGTTATTCATGCACAGCGGCTTATAAAATCACCACCAAAATCACTAACTGCTGGGTAATCAGTCATAAATAAATCATCTAAATTTCAGATTTAGAATAAGAGATAGATTAATAAACTTAGAGGGACGTTTTTTTTGATACAAAATGGAAAAATTGTATTAATGATACATAACTTTTTTGTGATGTAAAATAATTAAAATCAAACACAATTTAATCATAAATTTTGCAGAAATCACGCAAAACTTGAAGCCCATCGTTTGTTTCGGAAACTGGAGTTCAAAAATAGGCTACGCAAGCTTGTAAATATACAGCATTCCAATTTCGTGAAAAGTGAAGGAAGTATGTTGTTTGATACCTGCTGATCATAGTGCATGAAGTTTTACCAGCTTAAGATTTACAGTTATTATAGTCGTTCTGAATTATACTTCGATCATGGTCGATTCCATGCTTATCTGTAAAATTAAAAGAAAAAATGCTTCCCCTATAATTTTATAGTTAATTGATATTTTAGTCGAAATCTCACCTAATGAGCAGCTTGCAAGGTATCATCCGGATTTCAATCTTGATGATGTGACTGATATTATACCTGCAAAATTACCTGAAATACCTAAAGGAGATGCCGGTCAACCTGAAACAATGAGAGAATACTTAAAAGCAGTTCCTGACAGTTGTGATACTCTCCCAGATAAAATAAAGGTTTATTTTGACTATAAGTGTATGAAAACGAACTAAATTATTCATAAACATGAAACATATTTTAGACAGTGATCAAAGAACTTAGAAGTCCTAAAAAGCAAGATGTTGTTGTTGCCGACAGTAGCATACCATTATCACCCAAAAAATATGTTGAGAAAAAGAAACAGTCGACTCAGCTCAGTTTATTGGAAAGAGTACTGCTTTTCTTTGTTTTGATTTTATAGCATGTGAGTGATTGGAAAATGTGTACAGAAATGTTCATCACATAAATCATTATAAATTATTGAGATTCGAGCTAAAGAACGCGAACGGAAACGTCGAGAAATGATGCGCAATCCTGAAATAGAGGAAAAAAAGAGAAGATTAGAAAGAATTTCTCGTTCACTTCTACAATGCATTTGTAGGTTAGTTGTATTCTTTCATTCGTTTCGGAATATAAAGAATAGGGTATACTCACTGTGGTATGTTTTATATTTAAGGAGGAGAAATGGTCGATGTAATACTTTGAACAATGATAGTTCCAAAATAACTAAAATTAAACACAATTTTCATTGTTGTTAAAAAATTTTATTTTTTAGAGACAGTTTTTACTTTTTTTAGCTTTTTTGGCTTATCGCATGGAAAAATGTTCGAAATCAGTTTGCATGCTAATGATCATATTAAATATTTGAAATTCTTTGTTTTAGTTATTACAATCTAAAAAAAGTTGGGTCAATGAAATTTGTAGAATTGGTTGATAAATTGGCTTTCAGTATCGGCACCATATCGAAAGGTAAGATTTTTTTAGTCTGTAAATTAATAAAAACAAAATTATATTGTATTAACTTTTTACAATCATTGTATTATTAACTAATGTTTATTACAGTAGAAATCGAAGCTGCGGTTAATCTGCTGTGTGAGGTTTGTTCGACATACTTTAAAATGGTCGATGTAAGGAATGAGAAATATGTTCATTTGAAAGAGAACAATTTTTCGGCTATTCGAGATTTAGTAAATGCAGAGATTGAAAAATGTGTTTAACTCAGCAGTCTTCTTTAGACACTCAAAATAAAGGGAACTATTGAGATTTTAACCTTCTCAAAGTTAGGACCTGAAGTTTCAATAGTTTTCATCAAACTTCATACTTTTTTATTCGGATTTTAAGTGCTTTTTAATTGACTGTAACTTATAGTGTCATGAAAAGTATTAAATACTTTTGTATATATATATATATATGTGCACTCACTGTAGGCTCTAAAATATTTATCGACTTAATAACATGCCATTACAGTTACTTTAAACATTGAATGACTACTTTAAAAGTCATCTGATCTACAATTACTGAGGTAAGAATTCTCTAATCCAGATTTTTTATTAATGCCACAGAATAACCTATGCAGTATCTCACATAAAAGATATCATACAATATTTGATTTGTATTTTTATTGCAGTTCTTGTCATGTAATAAACTCTTTATTTACGATTCAAAATTTTTGCAGCTATGGAATAACGTACTGCTTTTGAAAAGCGATACAAAATATAAGGTAAATAAGGTGCTGTCAAGACATTTTGCAATATGCGTTTGGTTTACAATAATTCTCATTTCTTATGCTTTTCAGTACTTTCCTCTTTCTCAGCTTCAGTTACTTTTGTTGAATGATGTGTTTACTAAGACTAGACAGGAAATTTGGTTTGTGGTAGTATTTAGCAGTGAAAGCAAAGTATTGGTGAGACAGGGGTGATTTTAAAGTTTAGTAATGCAATAAGCAGCTTAGTTACTATTTTTGCTAATTGACATTTACAATGTTGAATAAATAATTAAGTGAATAAATTTGTTAGCAAAAGGATGAGAAGAGGAGGGGTGCAGACTTATATTAGGAGTCGTTTTAGAGCAGTATGACAACGGTGAAATCGTTGATATTTTAGGAATTCGTAAACAAAACTGAAATAATCGAAGAGGAAAATGTGAAATTTGCTTGCCAACTCATTTATAATTGCATTTGTCAGTCATTTGTGTTATTTTTGTTTACAAGTATATATGCCTTCAAAATTTTAATCTTTCTCTCTCGAAGCAAATTTTGATTAAAAGTGTTATCTGTCTTCTGTTAAACGTACAATTTTGAAAGAAATAGTTCATTTGTCTCTTAAAAGAGAAAATTATTATTGATGTCAGTTTCAACAGCAGAACAAATATTTTTAGTGTGATTCTGATTTATGAATATTTTTGATATTCTTTTATCCAAGTTATCTTTCTAATCCACTAAACATATTCCTTCTACTGCTTTTAAACTTATTCAGTTTTAAATCTTCTATTTGGCCTTTATACTTGTTTGATCTCAAATCTTGTAAGCATTTACATCGTAAACCAAGAAAAATTGCAAATTTTAATTTTGTAGATCATAATTTTCGGCGTTAAATAAACATGTAAAAATATGATTAGATGAGAGAGTCTTTGTTTTAAGACATGCAAACAAGTATTACGATCTTGACGAATCTATGACAAGTTTACTTGGGCTTTGAAATGAAATTTCAACAAGAAGTAAGAATGTACAACTGTTGTTCTGCATTGAAATGTAATGAAGCCTGACAGTTTTCTTTTAATGACTTGCTGATTTTTGCATTTTGTTGCTATTATAGTAAAGACAGACACAGATACTTATTACTGGTTTTCAATTTATCTAATATAGAGCAAAGTGTGTGGATAGCACAAATATACTGACTTGAATATTAATTTCTGCACTGTGATCAGAATGTTTGATGCAGTCTGCTGTGATTATACTAGTCGACTAAGTTAAATCTTGAATTGGTAATGATAAAGTAAATCGTCAAGCAACCTTTAGCTTTTGCAATTTTATCATTCTTCTTTCATAACTAAGCAGAATTGTTTACTGCAGATGTAGTACTTTACTTTTACATCCTATGTGTGTAAATGCAAATTCTATTTTCCTATGTTACTTTCATGCAAGTAAATAAATCTAATTTCATTTGTTTATTGAAAATCAATTTGTTCGATTGGATGCTATGAAAAATTGAGTATACTCTGAAACTAATATTATATAATTAAGGCAAGAGCCTCAGTAATATGTACATGTCTCAATTTGTATACAACTGTTAATGCCTTAGAATACTCTATTATATTTAGCATTCTGAGTATGATAACATAGAAGCAAAGCATCTGTTATTTACTTCTTATTTATACGCTTTGACATCTGTTTTTAGCATAAGTTATGGAAAATATAATTATTTATGCATGGAATTGCAAAGAAAACATCTGTAGAAAGCGATTACTGTTTAGGATTATTTATTTTAATTCATTTTTCACGGCAAAGTCAATAACACGATGTTTCTAGCGAAAATGCAAATTTCTCGATAGATAATAATTTTCGTGATTTTTTTTTCTTTATAGATAATTTTTGTTTCATTACACGTACAATAGATCACGTTGATCTTCACTATGTTTTTGTTTTCTACAAAACTTTACGTGTAAAATTTTTGTTTTTGTTTTTTTCTTCAATATGCGAGCAAAACACATGTATTGTTATGCGAAGTTATTATACTTTACATTGATATCATGCTTTGTTCTTGTTTGAGCTTAAAAACTACCACTCTTCTGCATCAATCTTTCTCTCTTTTATATGATTTTATTTTTATTCTTGCAGTGTTTTTGCAGCCTAAACATCTTTCTAAGAACAACCACCAAAAAAAATATGCCCCACTTCTTCAAGATTAAAAGATTAAAACGCTACAGCGATGAACAGAATTTGATAAATTTGATTAACGAATAGATTTTACACGTCTAAAGCTACTAATTAATACGTAAAAAGGTTTAAAATTATTATCAAGTCAAGCATGACATAGTACTAAGTGAAGTATAGCATGTATCATTTCTTCTAAATCTTTTAAACATTAACTTTACATAACATCAGCTAGTAGCAACGTAGCAAACTCTGGCTTGAGACGTTTTGTATTTCAAATCGTCCCGTTGTGAAGAAAGGCTACTTACAATGTGTTTCATACTGCACTTTCAGTAAGGAAAGGACCGTTATAGAAAGATGGAGGGATAGATCTGTGTTGAACTCGTTGGTTTCTTTTTTCGGCCCGTTAAATTTTGGTGTTTTTTGGAAAGTGTCTTTTAAATAAATAAAGTTTGTGAAGTAATTATTACTCTATTTTCACGCAAAATTTTTCAGTTAACATGATTTATATTATTTTACTTGCTATTTTACGTATAAACTTCTTTATAAATAATTTACTGAAATGATTTGCTTCATTTTTCTTTGTAGTTCTTTCAATTTTATTTTTATAAAATATAAATAGACAAGTAAAATAATATAGCAAGTAAATCAATTATATATAATAATGATAGAGTAAAATTAATCTCTATAATGTCGCATAATATTATTCAGATGATGTCATTTTCATTTATGTAATCACTAATATATGATTTAAAGTAATGATTAATTTTACTCTATCATTATTAATCATAATGTTGTTAACGATTTCATTTAGCATTTTTCAAACTTTTTATATAATCAGTTCTGCTATAACTGATTCCATTCATTCAGAAGTAATTAATAAGAATTATGAGAATGAGTTAGCTTTTTGTATTGTGGTAGATGAAATGGTGGTAACTTTCGTCGTTATTATATCCGTTAACAAGTGATATTATTAGTATCTGCCGAGAATGATTGATATACTATCAATTTGATGACTTCATTTGCTAATTCTCTCATATTATAATAACTTTAATTATTGTCACATCATGATTGCTCACGACTTCTACCGTCTTCGAGTTTAATTCTTAAAGCATTTGTTATATGAGGGATTAGACATTTCTATGGAAGATTGATGAGTGGTTACTTGCGCGTATATGATTAATCTGAATGGCGAGTTTGTTGTCTTGTTATTTGTAAATAATTTTGCTCATGTGAAAACAAATTCAGTTTTTTATGCTAATATTTTTCTTTCTGTTTTTTGTTGTTGGTATTGATATCACATTATTTCTGTTAGCAATATTTTTTATTCATAATGTAAGCTTTAAAAAGAATTTACGATTAATTTCAGTCAATTTCTTAAAAATCACATGAGAATATTAAGAGGAATGTTGCATTTTAACGTAATTCATGAGGCAATTAAAACCGTGTAAAATGTCGTATTATTTACGGTATGCGAATGATTTATTCTTTTCTTTGTGATATAGGCATAAAAAGTAATTTAATGCATACATAATGCAGTGCAGTAAATAACTTAGCATTATATGAAACTGAGTCATTTGAACAATAATTTATTTTCTCTTGCAAACATTGTAATACATTTTTATATGTTTTTGTAAATAATTATTTTGTGAGCAGATATGATTCACGCGCAATTAATAACAATATCCAATTTACCTTGTGTTTCATGGAACATAATTCTGAGAATTTTTCAAAAATTGAAAATCTTTTTTGGTACCATTAAAAAATGAGTGATCGATCAGAAAGGTATTCGTTCTTGTTCTCAAAATTATATGTATAATAAAAGCATGTAATGTTAAGAATTTTCAGTTGAATAGAGAGATTAATGAGTAAAAAATAGAAAGTGGTAGATGATGACATCAACGGCAGAATCAAAGACCATAACGTCAGTGACTGTAATGAAATGTCATGACTGCAACATGCCATTTTCAAACAATAAATTTGGGGATCTAACTGATGATACGGATGTGGAAAATATTGGCAGTTTTAGGAAAGATGGGAAAAAAAAGAGTTGTTGGTGGTGGTGTCGCGATTGCATGGCTACGTTATGCAGGTATTTAATCAAATTTTTACATCTTATGTGAAGTGGTAAATAATGGAATGGACATTTTTTATTACTGAAAATTAGTCGGTCATTATTGAAAAGTAATATGAGTTGCGTGTAAAGTTGTGAAATAGAAATAATTAATTTAATGTCGACTTTTGAAAACAAGGTTATACGTCTACGTGTTTAATCATGAAATCATGTTTTGATTATATTTAGAAGATTCGAAGAAGTACCAAGTAGACTGCAGTAATAGTAATATGTTTAAGATTAGAAAAAAACTTATGTTATCAAGGAGACATTTGTGGATTCTGTCCTGAAAATTTTTCTGAGACACTATTATTGAAAAACTGATAATTAATACGACAGTTCATAGCTCTTTAAAATTGTGCATCGTATGAAACTTATTTAAGCATAAAGGAACTCTTATTAATTTGTTATAAAACAGCTGTTGTGAATCTAAGCATAATGATATTATCATTAATTCATTTTCATTTTCTCCTCATTCCTTCATGTTTGCATTATTTATTTTTATTCCCGCTTCAATTTTATAAAAAAATTATATCATTTACTTTTTTTTGAAAATCTAACTAATAAATAAGTATGACAAGTTTTGACTCTAAAATATAAGCTTAAGCAAAATATACATAATAAAATTAATTTCTTCATTCTCTATTTCAGTCAATGAGAATGCTGTAAATTTCTTTCACCTTCGACCTAGAAGATCTAAATCTTTGAAATTTGCTTTATTAGCAAATATCGATATCACAGGAAAGTTTTTAAAACAAATCAAGTTTTGGGTGCATATTCAGATGTCATCACAAAACATGTTGTCCAGTAAATGATATTAAATGCTATAAATGCTATCGGTACACAGAATCGAGCATAAAAATCAATTCTAGCCGGAAAATAAGTTGGTCTGACGAAAAGTCTCTTCATACGATCAGATATTTTTTCTCGTGGGTGCATTAAAAGCTGAATCAAAGATTAACTCATAATATTACTTGTAAATAATCTGTTTACAGAAAATTTTTGGATATTAACAAGTGTAATAGCTTTCAAAACAAAACTCTACTCTGATTCTTCATAGAGCATATTTTTTCTACTCAACTTTAGAATTTTTATAATTTATGCTTGATTTTTGTTTTTTGTGCTTGTGAATTGGAATACCATACAGTAAAATTGTTCTTATTTAGGCACATTGTTCTCAACAGTTAATGTTTATTTGCTAAGCTAGTTGTTATAAGGCGTTCCACTTACCAGGTAACAAGTACATTGCGGTTGGTATATTTGTTGGTTTTCGATGCTCCGTTTTTCATTTCGTCGGCGCACTTTTTTCATTGCATTATTCTTTTTTTCTTGGAGGCAATTATCTTGATAAGAAACAAAGGCATATTCCAGAAGTGCTCCAAATACGAATGCTTGGCAAGCTAAAATTTGAATAGAGCGAGCGTTTTCATTTTCCTAGCTCATATCACTGGTCACTTTTTGAGAAATTTCGTAAAGTCAATGCTTCGGAAAGTTTTTAAAATTTCAGCACTGAAAAGTCAACAAAAAAAACATTAGTGACTTGCCTCCTAACCATACGTCCACAACTTTGATATAACTCACTGGAGGCAACTTGGCATTAATAGATGATGTCTGAAGTGTTTTTAGATTTAGGAAGGAATAAAGTGAATGGTTTTGAAGGCTTTTAAAATTTTTTGGTGGTCATGAAGAGGAGTTTGAAAAGCTTCATTCTTTAGGTTCAAGTTGAAAAAAGTTGAAGAATATAAGTGCATTGTAATGCCATAGTAAAAGCAGGTACTAACAAATTTATTAACATACAGCACACGAGTTTGTTTTAATCTGTATTTTCTTTGCTGACTTAGATTAATGTATAGCTGAATTATGGAAGATTTTTATCTCATTTATTCAGTCTTAATACTCAGATACTCTTTATCTGTAGTTTTTATTTGTAAAGTTTCATGTGTTAATAATAGTTTATTTACATACCAGAGTGGTCATAGTGAGTAATGTTGTAACTCCTAGAGCAATTCGGCCTGCTGTAGAATGGATATCAATCCAGAAACTGACCCAACTTACAATGACAACCATTGTTGTTGGACCATAAAGTTGAATTAAATAATAACTGAAATATGGAGTTAAGAAATAAATTATGAAATAAAATTTTTTATCTTAGTTATTTGCGTTACGACTTATTTAATTTTTGTGTAGCTCTTACTTTTTAAAAGCATAACTGGTAATCGGTAAAGTGCGAAGTTTTGCAGTGAAATATAAGTGTGTATTGGATACTTAAATTTAAAAGAGTTTAAGTGATGAAATGTTTCAAATGTTTACGATTCTGAATTTGAAAACAGTAACCTAAACTGACGTGAAAGTTCGAGACGCATTCTAAGGCAAGCGTATGTTCCTGAAATTGTAGATAAGATTATATAAAATACTGGACGAAAACTGTTATTCATTATATGCATCATATTCTCTAAACAGTGCTAATAATTATTATGAGTAATTTTTTGCTTCAGGTACTAATACTGAGAGTAACTATTAGTATCAGGAAACATTATTACTCGACATTTCTAAATATATGCATAATATATGGAATAACTAAAACGCAACACATACATAGTAAAGAAGCAGTAAAAAAAATTACTTGTGATAATGAAGTAGCACTTATGATAAGTGTATAAGCATGCTGTACAGAATTTAATTATATTCGTGAAAGCGTGTGTAGTAAACAATTTATATATGCCATTATTTGCATATGCTTGAACTAGTAATAGACATGGGCAGTGGAAGATAAGATAAGTGATGGAGGAAAGTGGAGGATTGTATATGGACAGACATCTTTGGTGCTCTGATGTTTATAGGAGGTAAAGGGTTGTTGCTTATGCACCTGTATTAGTATGGCTGGTGCATTCATGATTTGTTTCTATTGATGTGAGCAAAAAGTTGGGGAGGTCACTACCAACACCTGACTTCTTTTGTACTGGTGGTCCACCATCTCGTTCCCACTCATATACGATATCCTATAAGAAGCCAATTTTTTAAATTTGACAAATACAATTGAATTTAAATTATTAACTCCGTTTCTCTCATTAAGTTCTATATTTTTCATTCTGATCGCAAAAACTGCAACTTCATTATATCTTGTTTTTGTCATTTGATTGAATTCACTATTACTGTAGCCACTGCTAATTTTTACATTTCTAATAAATATTAATTAATTACTCAACTATTAAGATTTAACTTTTAAATTAATTATTGTCAGAAATATTTTAAATGATTATTGAATAAGTAAATTCCGCTTTATTGCAATTGTTTTACTTCCTTGGATTTTGTCAGTAAATTAATGATGTGTTCGTTAAATATCTTGGATTAAAATAAAAAACGATTTCAAGAATTTCACTTTAATTTATATTTGCTTATTTAATTCTTTTGTTTGTAACTAATCATTTTTTAATTCATACTATTTAATGCCGACATTTTATATATTTAAATGATTAGTTCATGAAAATGATTACTGTAAAAGAAATAAAATTTAAATTAATAGTAAAATATACGGTAACAGTGTGAGCATAGCTGATTAAATCAAAATCGCAGTATTGTACGTCGAGAGGATAAAGTTGTAGATGCATTGGACATGATAGAGTTAGTGATAACCGAACGCTGTACAGTATTTGTCCATCTGGATATATCCTTACAAGCATATTTTCTGTATCAATAAGATGGCGATGTGCTGCTTTTTCAGTCTAAAACAAATTACTGAATTTTATAAAATTTTATAAAGCTAAAATAAATCTGTCCAGCTTTTATAGTATTGTTTCATGTTTTGCTTCTCATAACAATCTAGTTGTTACTGATAATTGTTAATTTTTTAACAATTCTTGGTTTTTCAGTATGCGATATTGTTGTATTCTTTTAATGGGAAGAATAGCAGAAACAAGTTATAATATAGATAAAAATCATTATTAAACATTGAAGTAAATATGAATCAAGAGACTTACCGGAAAGAATGAATCCGGTATCCAAATGCTGTTTTTTACATATGGAACTGTAAGGTAATTAGGCATGTTGATAAGTTGCATTTTTTCATATGCTAATCTGCGATCCAGCCATCTTTCCCTGAACGTTATCTGCATGCTATATTCCTGCAGACATTTTTAACGTACTTAAAATGTAGTGTAAATTAAATAATTTCAAGATAAAAATCTCTAGTTTTTTTCTTCTGTCATTCCTTTCAGAATTTCACATTTTTCTTTCATTTGGGAGTAAGAAATAAAAAGTCTGAATAATATTTAAATCTACCATATTTACAACATCAATTTTGCTGAGCATGCGAAGCATAATGTTCACTTTGACAATAACAGGACCTGTCGTTTCTAGAAAAAAAGATGTTGAGGACCTCAAAGTAACTGATGTTTACTTGCTTGTTGAATAATTTCTGAATCTTTTTTTTTTTTTGAGTGAACATTTTTGTTCATTTTTATGCTGCAATGAAAGAAATATTTGAATAAGAAAATTATTTTTATAAGATTATAGGATATCAAAGGCAAATTCATCTACAGGTGTCTAGTCTTTTGTGAAATAGATAAGTGCTGAACTAATTATTCATTCATTTCATGAACGACAAGTGTTGTACAAGAAGAAAGCGATGTAAAGAATAGTAAGATGAGTATTCATAATAATCTTTCTATCTACGGAGAAGTTGGATGCATTTTCTGATCAGGAAATGTGATCAGATTGTGTGCTGAATGAGCAAAGTTGCGTGTAAATTATTTGTAAATTTTGTTATTCTTGCTACATAAGCTTGCAGTTACTTCACTTCTTCAATTTTGCATGCACCTTTGAGTAAGTCGAACATTCTAAGCAGAATGAAGAAATGATGATACCTGAAGTGTTTGTTGGTGGAGGACGAACTCGTTGATCATAATCTTTAAGTAACTCTTCCAAAATCATTTGCTCCTCTGAACTGCTGTGTGCAACTGCTTCTAAGTCCCCAAAATTGATTGTTGACATTGAGATGCAATTTTTTACTATTTCCATTATACACAGTGCAATAATCACGAGAAGGCCCATTATGAACAACGCATAGCTGAAAATGATAGATAAATAAATAGATTTTCACAAAGCTATTTTTGCAAATTAGTTCGTAAAAGCTATAAAAAATGATATTAATAATGCTGCCGAAGAGTATGCTTTTTTAGAATTGCTGTGGAAATATGGAAAAGACAAAAGATGCCATGTTAATATCAGTTATCGAGGCTTAGCTGTGACTTTTAAAGAGTGTGCATAAATTAATGCTCATGGATTACTCTATGCAAGCTCTCTTTTTTAAGCTTGTTTTTGTTCTTTTCAATTTGTTCTTATTGCCATTTTCGATTACCCTGGATACCATTAAGAAAAAAAATTGTACATGTGTTTTTTTCACTAAAGTAGCTTTTAACACTTTCATCTTTTTGTGTCATTTTTCTTCGATGATAATTGATGAGATTAAGAAAAAATTAAGTAAGAATTGTACGCATAGAGAAAAATGCAGGCCCAAGTAGAAAAAATAGTAGCAACAACTTAGGCCATTTTATACATGTGAGATTGTAAAAAAAGGTCAGATTCATAATAAAAGAATTGATTTAATTTAGCTAATAACAAATTGAGATGATTTGGCATAGCTTAATGTAGGGATAAATTTTTGTTTTTAATTCCTGTACTGGGTAACTAGATAATTTTAATTGTTTAATCGTTTACCATTTAGTTATGTGGTTATAAAAGGATATTCACAGATGTGGACTGATTTGTCATTAATACTTATGTTAAGTAGTTTAGAATAGAAGCGTAGCTTGAAACCGAACAAGGTAATTAGGTAGCTTTCGGTTTCTTTATATTATTTTCACAGAGCAGTTGTAGAAATTATGTGATATCAACTGAGCCTCAATGACTGACATTAACATGCCATTTTTTAATGTTCTATATTCTTGAAAAATTTGTCTTTTTATTCTCATGGAAGTGTTTGCTCTAAGAACTCAGGTGAGTGAGCCAAAAATAACTTTTGTCATTTAAATGCTAAATTTATAGGGAACATTTAGAAGGAAAGAGTCTCTAAACCGCTTGCTGTTAGGTGAAGCATGAAAGTACTAGTTTGGCAGTTAACTGCAAACGGAAGTAGAACTCTCTATAAGTTGGCATTCAAACGTTTGCTGTGCAATTTGTTAAAGTAATTTAGAACTGGTATAAAGCATGAGGAGTAATTACGATTATATAAGCAGCCATCTAAACAACAGTATTTCATGTTAGTCATCCAATAATAGCACAACTGTAGAAATTTTGAGGTGCTTCTTTCGTTTCATAGTTCTGTGGCAGAGAAAAACTTTTCAGTTGAAGATAAAGTAAAAAGAGAAAAAACCTGACGCAAATATTTCAAGGGTAAGGTAGCAAAATATTGCGTGCATGCTAAATAATTAAGAATCATTAAATGCACTGCTGAATGAGTCCTGAGTAACTGCAAATATTACACAGTAGGTGTATTTGCACAACCTTGGAAACACGAATGGAGGTAGTGAAATGCTTTTTGGTAGAGAATTTATTGGCTGTATGAGAGGTGAGCACAGAAAGTGGTGGTGGTGGTGGTGGTGGTGGTGGTGGTGGTGGTGGT